TGTTGGCCTTTATCAATGTTATGATCCTGAACAACATTCAAAAGGTTTTAGCTAGTGTTTGGACACCTTGGATGATCCTAATGCCGACAGTACTCCAACTTTCAAGCTTCATAACTCAAGATTTATTTCATAAAAAAATATTTTATTTATGTGTTTTGGAAAGTTCTCGAGGCGTGCTATAAGAACATGTAATGAAAAATTGGGGGTTCCATTTAAAAAATTCAAAGTGACCTTGTCCTGACCTTGACGACGCCACTCAGGATCAAACCAATGTTATCATCTTATGTCCCCCTCGAAGTCCGAAAACTTTTGTCTGAAAAATTTTTCTCTCCTGGACTTGATTTTCGAGATATTCGACTGGATGGATTAAAATAGTCCACCCTGTATATCGATCGGTTTCTCTGACTTCGGATTTTAGTCACTTTAAGGGCGCCAAACCGTCGCGACGTCCGACTTCGCTCCCTCATCGCGATGTGCGTCGCGATATATTATTTTCAGCACAGCTATATGGAATATTTTCATCTTAAATGTTTCTAAGGCGATAGAATGCAAGGATCTCACGTGCCACTTTAATGCTAATCGATCACTCTAAATGCGTTGCAGTGAGATTTCACTGTAGCGAATAGTTAAAATGCGCAACCATCCTCTTTGAGATTTTATTTTAATTTAAAGTGAACTTGAGTCACTGCAGTTAACAATGACATTTTAATTGCAGCTGGTAAAGTGACTTTTTTACTCTAATAAATTTTAGATAGAATACACTGTTAAATCTTTAGTGTCAAACTGAACCTTATTTAAGTCGCTACTGCTCTTACTTAATAAATAATTCTTTTTTACTAAAACAATGGAGTTAAATAATTTAAAACAGTACAATTTAATCCAAATTTGGATTAAATTCCATTGTTTTATTTAAAAATAACTGTATTGTTTTAGTTAAAAATATTTTTTTTATTAAGTAGGAGCAGTGGCGACTCAAATAAGATTCAGTTTGACACTATAGATTTAACGGTGTAGGCTCCAAGAAATCCAAGAAAGAAATAAAGATATAGTGAAGTAATCTATTGTCTATGAAGAGGAAAATCTTATACATGCATATTAGCATCGAAAGATATTAAATTGTTTATCAATTTAATTTGTTACAAGTTTCCAATTTCATGCAAAGAACTATGTTTTAAGATCGACGAACCGTGCTGCGCGCAGATCGTATGGTTGGATATTGTAACGATAAGAATTTCACACCAACCGTGTCGGCTCTCATTAGGCAATTACTTCACTATATTTTTTACTCTTGTGAAGTTACTTTTCACTGTTAATAAAATCAATTATTTTCCACCATCAAAAAATTTTCGCTGCTAAAAAAGTGATTTTTCACTTCTTCTACAGTTAATTAATATCTTGCAGTGAATCATGCCACTGCAACCATGTCACTGTTATCATAACAGTGACATTTTTCACTGTTTCTAATAAAGTGAAATAAAAGTTAAAACTCACTTTTACATACAATCACTGCATAGCAGTGAAAACCCTAAAATCAACCTTTCACTACTGTATGGTAAAGTGACAATTTTCACTGGAACGAATTTAAAGTGGATGTAGCGAATTTGTTACGCTTTTACTTAAACACGTTTCACATTTAGCGGTTGAGCTATTCACATACCTGATTCATCTGTAATATTATATTTATCGAAAAATTATCAAAAGAGCACAAAATCTAAATCTAAATTGCACAAAATTTTAAAAATGCATCAATTTTATACGCAGATTTCTGAAATGCATAAACTCATTTAAATAATTTTGAAAAAAGTTTGACGCAACAGATTAATTTAAGCGTGGCCCGTGTATATTTTATTCGTCAGTTAAAGGGCATCAGAATCAAACATTTAAAAACAGTAAGAGCGACATCGACCAAACTCCGATTAACTTAATCAATTAATTTATCAAATAATATCTGTGTTATTTTCTTGATATCAATCAATAGAATTGTTAATTTTTTTGGTTTGATACACAAAGAGAAAGAGATTAGATTGGGAGCAATGAATTTTTTCAGAAACGCTGAATTTCAATCGCGCCGATCGAATCAATCGCTGATTAAATTAATCGAAGTTCGATCGAGGTCGCCAACGGAGACACCAATTAGGCTTGCAGAGAGACAAAAACGAGGCACATGGAGGGACATGACGTTTTGTAGGATTTAAGGGGACACCTTGTGTACTCGCCATCGAGTGGGTAGACCGACGTATGGTGCGATCCTGGTAGAGGCAGGCGGGTGTCTTCCAGCGCGACTTCCACCACCTGGGCCTCCTCGAGTGTCGACCGCCGGATTTCGCGACGTTGTTGCAGCTGCACGTGCTGACCGAGTGCGTCGACGCCCTCGGGCCCCATCGAATCCCGCGTAAGCGCGTCCACTTGACGCCGCGAAGCGTCCTCGACACCTCGGCTCTCACCTCACCGTTCAGGAAGCAGTACAGCACCGCGACGAAGAAACCCTTCCGGAAACACAGAGATAACCACCGATCGCCCTTTCGATCTTAAATTCTCACCTAGCAAAGTCTATAACTCTTTTTTTCTTTCTCGATCACAGTTCTCGAAAAGTTTACAGGAAACCGGCATTCTTGATGTAAATTATAAAAAGACGTGAAAAAAAGAATGAATATCATTTAATCATTTCATTTAAATATATCTCTGAAAAGTATCCATAATTTATTTCCTTTTTCACTTCTTCCACTTGTTCGAATCATCGCTACCGTTATTTATTAAATTTCTATTTTATTAATTTGAAAATAAATGAATGTTAAGAGATCAATTGTAATAAAATTAATATTCAGTAAGAAAAAATAAATGAAAAATGACAGAGAGAGAGAGAGAGAGAGAGAGAGAGAGAGAGAGAGAGAGAGAGAGAGAGAGAGAAGAAGAGAAAGAATTATAATGAGTTCCAAAAAAACTTAAATGTTTTAATTAATAAAATTATATTCAGTAAGAAAAAATGAATGAAAAATGAGTGAGGGAGAGAGAGAGAGAGAGAGAGAGAAAAGAGAAAGAATTATAATAAGTTCCAAAAAAACTTAAATATGCTTCATCATCTGAGCGGCTGTTGAAACGTTTCGCTGTTCAAAGTACAAAGATATACGTAAACCCGCAGAGCAAGTAGTATTTTAGAGTAAGATCAAATTTACGATATGAAATTATCTACCAGCTCAATTTCGCTTAGATATAATTCAATTTCGCGAACTTTGTGGGTTAATTAGCTCAATTTTTACACAACATCGTCCAATTTTGCAGTTTAATGAGACATAATTGGGGATAAGGCAGTCGTTATAAGCGCTCGGCTTCTTGCGTAATAACAAGGTTTAAGGCAGTTTGTGGCGTCCAGTAAGTAGATTAGAGCTATTAATAATTGCGCGTTACCTGGAAAGACGCGAACAGCTGGTCGCAGAAGAGCCACACGACCTCCACGGTCTCGTTCACGCCGATGCTGTATGACATCCCGATGAAGAACGCGTAGTGAACCCCAAAAAGCGGCACCAGGACCAACGTGCTTCTAGCCCATCGCCTAATAATCATTTTAGACGTATATTTGTGTAGTTAATTGTTAAAAATAATTTTACACACATCATAATTAATAAGATTGAACGGCCAAAGACGAGCAATTTAACAGGTTGTAAAAATTACTTTATTAATTAAAAATATAATATATCACTCTGGCTCATATAATTAAAAATTAAGGAGTATCAAACGAAGGGTTAGTGAGCCTTGCACGAAGTTAGTGCTGAAATTACGTATATTTAACAACAATAATTTTTACCCATTGGGTGATAATTATTGCTGTTAAATAAATCCTAATAAGGATCAAAACTATAGTTGCGATCTTTCGTTGCGTTTTGTGCCAGAAAATTAATTAATAAATTAAGGAGTATCAAACGAAGAGCTAGTGAGCCTTGCACGAAGTTAGTGCTGAAATTACGTATATTTAACAACAATAATTATCACCCAATGGGTGATAATTATTGTTGTTAAATATACGTAATTTATACTTCTTAATTTATTAATTAATTTTCTGGCACAAAACGCAACAAAAGATCGCAACTATATTTTCGATCCTTATTAGGATTTTCTTAATCGCATTACTAATTTAATTAACAAAAATACGGATTTTGTAGTCAGCGATTAAAATAAAATAAATTATACAGAGAGTCGCATAAATAATTAATTGAAACATAGTCAAAAATAAAATTAATGAATTTTACCAAAAACGGAGTCATATATGTGCTGAACGGAGATTATAAAGGAAGCAGTCAAAAAATCACTCGGTCTGCATCGCATTAAAGTTGAGTATATAAAACTCAATTTACCAAATGTTCGACATATTAAGAGTCTTATGTACGGAAACCAATATGACAGTGTTCGCAAGTTCGATGTCAGACAATAAAGTAATTTTTATGCAATCTGTTAAATTACTCGTCTTAGGCCGTTCAATCTTACACGGAAAGAACAATTTTGCTAAATCCAGATCGTGAAAATAATTTTTGTTCAATAATCAAAATAATTTTGTGCAAAAGTCACAATGATTGCTAGAATATCAAGACGTTTTATAGCAATGCTTATTAGTTTTTATCATTTCAACAAATTATTTTGATAATTCAACAAAACAATATTTTCAGATCTGTATTTAGCAAAATTTTTAGACCTTTCAACAAAATCGTTCTTTTCGTGTATTAATTATATTGTATTTACAATAACGAGCGAAATTTATAAAGAATTTTACACATATCATTTCATTAAAAATTTCATCGAAAACGATACAAATACCTACAAATTATAGTGCATTTATATTAAAAATTTATTTTTTATCAAAGGGTCTTACCACCCCTGAGGTTTTAAAATGATACCTTAAGTTTGGCATTTTTTTGTGGGTGAATGAATAAACTTTATTTAAAATCTGCTTAGAGAACATTATTGTACATATATAAGAAACCAAAACAATATTTTTTTATTTTTCTTATGTCCAAAATGGCGGCGCACTGGCCTATATTTGCGGAATCCCTTTTATTCTATCGGTGTACAGGATTCCAGACACACGGTTTGGCCTTGAACAAAACATAAAAATTGTCATTATCTACATATTAAAGATAAGAGAAGTACGTAGGAATTTTTCAAAATATTGATTTTTCTCAAAAAGACAGCTATTTTACGAAAGACTTGTATTGACAAAAATACGAACTTTTCGTAAAAATAGCTGCCATTTCGAGAAAAATCAATATTTTAAAAAATCCTACGTATTTCTATAGTCTTTAATATGTAGATAATGAAAATTCTTTGTGTTTTGTTCAAGATCAAACCGTGTGCCTGGAATCCTGTACACCGATTTGAAAAAAAAAAAAAAAACAGAAAAAAGGGATTCCGTAAGTGGGCCATTGCGCCGCCATTTTGTACATAAAAAAATAAAAAAATATTTTGTTGTTTCTTACATATGTATAACAATATTCTCTAAACAGCTTTTAAATAGAGTTATTTATTTATCCACAAAAAAATCTCGAATTTAGGTATCATTTTAAGGCCTCAGGGGTGGTGAGACCCTTTAAACTCACACACACACACATACACACACACAGATCAAAGCTTACTTGTATCTTTCCGTTTCCTCCGACATGGTGGACTTGAGTTTCACCAGCAGCACTCTCACGATGTTGATGAAGAGCACGAAATTTATCTAGCGTAGCCAGCCAAGAGCGATGGATTAATGGACGACTAAATTAATTACAAGTTCAACGAGGCATTCGCCTCGGTTCTTACCAAAATAGAGAGCATCGTGGGCACCCGTATGAAGAGGAACAAGAGAGGCTTCTCGTTGGTCGTCCAGCAATACGTATCCTGGAATATGATCCTCGTAACTACCCAAGGTAAGATAAATACGGCTGGCAAACCTGTAAGACGAAGTTGTGACGATTGAATTACTCAAATGGGCCATACTGCCAGTGCTTATTAATAATGAGCTCCATTAATGATGAGAGGAAACAGGGACGGAGACTTTTGAATTTTCTGGGTGCGGAGTACCTTATCTAAGCGGGAGAGTGCGGGGAGGAGGTAATAACATAATTATTTTATCTCTACTGTTGTATGTCGAAATGCATTTCTACTTCTACATTTAATTTCTTTTCATATTTTTTTCTTTACAAATATAAATATTTTTAAACTAACAATTTGAGGCAAGCTCGTCAATGTAAAAACAATCAAATTATAGAATAGGCCAAACTAACGGGCACTAATAAGGTGACACTTAAACATAAAACATAAAATTTATTCTAATCAATTAAACGCGGTACATGTTTCGGCTTTACAGCCTTCTTCAGCCGTAAAAAATAAAACATATATATAGCGAACGGAAACATATGAGTTACATGATCGATGTGTAACAGTAAATTAATGCAAAACAGTAAGAGTCAAATATAAAATGTATAAAGTAATCGGCGTTGAGAAATAGCAATTTAGAGTCGGTATAATCATAGTGGTCGTCGAAATTTCAGTTTTATTCTGGAGTAGTCTCTTTGTCCACATTACAGTGTGTCTCGTACTCAATGGTACAGCGCTTGTGGGTAGGTAGTGTGGACCAAACTGAACAAAAAAGTCTTCTCCCATTTTGCGATCTTCGTACTAGTTATCGAGATACTAATCATTAAAAAAAAATTTACGCCAAGTATATACAAGTGTATCGTACATTAGGTACATTTTATCTAAAACAAAAATATTATTTTAACAAATAAAAGTTGCCCAAAAACAAATATGAGATCATACAAATTGCCAAGTATTTGATTAGACATAAAGACAAAAATATTTTATTCCAAATCATAACAATATTTTTTTAATAAATCGTTTAAATTATTCAAAATTATATGCAGCAAATTTTAATGCTATTGTCTTTCCAAATAACTTTAAGTTTCGTAAAACAGAGTTAAAGTTAATAAAATGATCAATAAAATCATAGTGAAGTAAAAACTTGGCCATTATGTAAAATTTTTACTTTATTTAAAATGATTAGTACCTCGATAATTATTGCGAAGATCGCAAAATGGTAGAAGACTTTTTTGTTCAGTTTGGTCCACACTATCTGCCCACAAGCGCTGTACCATTGAGTACGAGACACCGTGTATAAAACGTCTCAACAGAGTGGGAATTCCGTTGAAAGCATTGTGAAAATTAGTCAAATAACCAAATTAATATCGTCAATAAATCAGATGTAAAAAATCAGCAAAGTTTTCTTATATGGACAAAGGAGAATAAATTCATACTGTTCGCTGTGATGTGCAATATACGAATAAGCACTGAAGAGATTACATGAATATTTTTCTTTTAATTTTGTCGCGATATCACGCAAGAAGTAGCTCATTTAAATAATTATTAAAAAAAAATTTCTTTTAAATACTCCAAATTCAGGGTGCGAAATTCCACACCCACGGAATCTTTGGGTATGGAAAGCTCCATACCCTCCATAAGGAAGTCTCCGTCCCTGAGAGGAAATAAATAATTTAGTGGAAAGTGCTTTCTGCTGAAATTTATAATTATAGAAAAAGATACAAATATATTTTTCAGATAAAATTAATAATTCCAAGCTCGTGAAAGTCTTAAAAACAATTAAAACTCATAAAAAGGGCCAACAACAATTGCGAGTATTTTAATTATTTCGTTTTAATTATTTCGAAAAAAATATCCTTAATGATAATCCGTTGATATACATAATCTAATACGCTGTTACAAAGTTCTTCTTCGATGTACATAAATGTTTCGCTATACGAACGTTTCGGGCTTCACAGAGCCCTTCTTCAGCGCGATTGACAGGAGGAGAGGAGGAAGTTAAAGTTAATAGGGTGATATCGAAAGGGAAAATATATGTAACGTATTATTAGGTCAGCGTATATATACAAATAAAATTAATAATTCCAAGCTCGTGAAAGTCTTAAAAATAATATGTTTTTCAAATTCGATGTAACACTATATTTGGAAGGGACATAGAAAAGAGAAGTGTGTATAATAAAAAACAGTTTGAAATCAAAATTATGCTACTATTGTTGTTACATATAATATTTTTCTGCATAACTCTCCGTGACTTTCACAATCGAGACGATGCCACGTTTCATCTAAAGCCGTCGTGACTCTTGAGAATTTACAAAAATTGAGGGATTCTGCATTTCTCTGTAGAAAATCCTGTTGCTGTAGGAAGCCCTTTGCTGTTTCGAAGACGGTCAGGATCCAGGATCAAAAGAGATCTATACCGGTATAGTGAACTGCTTATATATTCTCTCTCGCTCTCTCATATATATATATATATATATATATATATATATATTTCACATTACGATTTTCACAATTCGAAATTTTATTTTAGTTAGAATTTTAAAATGTCTTAAATTGTATAGGAATACAAAGATAAATTATATAGATATATAGCAATAAAAGAATATAAATTACATATTTATTAAAACAAGGATCTCTCCTTGCAATTAATCAAATAATGATGAAATTTATTGATTTGTCTTGAATACAAAATGTGAATACAAAATTTTTAATACTTAATATCTTTTAACTTTAACCTTTTGATTTAACAGCTAAATCTTAGATTAAATTCTAAGTATCCGGTAAAAAATTGTGTATACAAGAACATATATAAAAATATATAATTATATATAATTATATGCAAAATATGTTCATATATATCCATATATGTTTCTTTTCTTTGTTATTTTAAATTATTTTTTAATACAAAAAATAATAATAATAAGAAGGAAACATAAAAAATAACTAAAAGGATAATTTTTACATTGTTTTTTTTTTACAAAAAATCAAGTTCGAAGAAATGAGAAAAATTGCTCATATGTAATCTTATATAAATGATTAAAAATATACATATGTAATTATATATAAACAATTTTTTCTCATTTCTTAAACCTTGATTTTTTGTAAAAAAAAACAATGCAAAAATTATTCTTTTAATTATTTTTTATGTTTTCTTTTTATTATTATCATTTTTCTTGTACCAAACAATAATTTTACAAAAAAAAGAAACATATATGAATATGTATAGACATATTTCGCATATAATTATGTATAATTATATACAATTATATATTTGTATATACGTTTATATATATTTATATATGTTCTTATATGAAAAATTTTTTACCGAGTAAGGAACCGATATAAAAATCTTGTTCTTCGAATTTATTTAAAAGAATTTCTTATTTCAAACGTTTTCTTCGCAATTCTTTACATAATGTACCAGTAAAAAATTTAAGAGATAACAAAATAGTTAATAACTAAAGGGCATAGAGGATTGCCATTAATGTAGGATGTAAAGTAGGATAACAATGTAGAGATTACAACTGATGTGATTGCAATCTCAGAGAGATTCCCGCTCTAAGATTAACGACAACTTCCGAGATTAATCGTACTTACCCCATCCGAAAAGGACGTAGCCCACGATGCTGGAATTGGCATCGGTGAAGAGCGCCAGGAAGACCAGATTGTGCAGATATATGCCCTCCATCAAAATCCAGGAGTAATTCGCCAGGATGAAGTACTGCCAGAGACTGGTAAACGTTTTGCACTGCCAATTGCTTTCCTTCTGCTGCCCGTCGAGCAGCCAGTAACCGTCGTTGACTTTGATCACGGCCTCCGCCAGGCCGATGCCGGACACGAAGAGCATGTCCTTGAGTAGCGCCATGAACGCACGCATCACGAACGAGACGAACAGGTGCATGTGCAATATATTCCGCGGGCATCGCAATTTCCTACGTCCGACGGGAGAGAAACTTGAACGTGGCAACGCGAATTACGATTAGGAGGTGCGAGATTTTATACGGCGCCGCGCGGCGAGACACGTATATGTACATATCCGAGTGTTTGAGATTAAACCAATGCAGCCCGAACGATTCCGGTGATCCTCTGCAAGATTCGCGATTTTATACGCAGCGCGTAAACAAGACACTAAAATTTATTGCTCGCTCGGGGACAGCCTCGACGTTAAGCTCTTTATTTTATAACGCCATATATTTTGAGGAATAAAAAGAAATTGCGTGGCTAAGAGATATATAGGTATATAATGATATATACGCGCGAATAAAACGTTTGGAAAGACGTTTGACAATTATTTTTTAATATCCCTATAATTGTGCATTGAAAAAAAAATCGAAAATGTTGAAAGCGAGGCGCCTTGTTTTGCAATCATGTGTTAGAATTCATTTACACGAGTATATACTTACTTGATGGTGGCCAAAATGCAAAACGCGACGATGAGAGTGAACAGCGAGATTGTGTAGCCGAGTTTCGAGATGATCTTCACGATCGGGAAGAATTTCTATAACATATGCAATTGTGTTCTAAATAGAGAACAATTAATTATTAACTTACCATTTTTGTAGCCTATGATTTTAATTTGTAAAACAATTAAACGGGATCAATTGTCAAATTATTGTAAAAATAATTAGAATTATTTTTATATAAAATAATATATGTTTTTTAAATAATATATAATTAAATTAATTATAATTTTTAATAATATATGTTTTTCGTTATTAATTATTATACAAATAAAAATATAACTTTAAAAATTGAACATGAAATAATTAAATTGATTTATTTCGTGCAAGTAACTTTAAGTGCAGTCTTCCTTGATTAATTTGTGGGCAGTAGCCTAATTTAAGCTTCATGAAACAATGTCACTACTCATTATATGATCTCTACGCAAAGAGCAAATTACGAAAGTTGGCAATTGTGTTTAATTTATGGCTCTCGTAAACCTTTCCTAATTCTCTACCATACGGATCTCTCTACTGTATATTGACAGCATTTCATTGTCTCATTGTGTATTCCCTTTCATGTTGCAATGCTAGCTTCATGATTCTCAAGGAGATCACTTGTTATTACGTTACGATTCCACCGCGTCGCTTTACGAAAGCTCCTCTACGGAACTTCCATCCTATATTCACGCATCGACGAAAATGTGGCCAAAGGCGAGCAAGGCGCTTTCATCGCGATGCGTTCGTATTAAATATTGCGGTCAAGTTTGCATTAAATTTGTATTAAGGCTGTCAATTTGTTTAAAGTGTATTAATTATTTAATTTTCTGAATTAAGGAGCAATTTTAGTGAACGTCTCTCTAAAATTTTGACGGGATATTATTTGCTCTCCCAGCCAGAAATGGTCGGTCAATCGACGTCGAATCAATGTCGATTGACGTTGAATCGACGTGGAATCAATGTCGGTCGACGTCGATTCAACATCAGTCGACCAAACATTTCTGGTTAAGCTATTATTTTCTGCTCTATTTGTAAACCAAACAAATACTTAGAGACTAAAAAATTAAATTTAAAATTTAAAAATTTAATAAAAAGACAGATTAAATGACTACTGAAAAAAAGTAGGATTTGCTTTAATTTAGGCCCCAAAGCTGAGCGTCTCAATTGTAACGCTACGCGGTGTGCACAGTTGAAAAATTTGTGTTAAATTTAATTAACACATCTCAAATTTTTGTGTTAATTTAACGCAAGATAAATGTGCTACATAGAAAGTAATACAAACATTATGTAAAAATTAATACAAAAAATGTAACGCTTTAATACAATTTGGAAACAAATTGTGGAAACATATTATTCTTCACTTATAACATGTAAAGTTAACAAGTATATTTATCTTTTATTCATTTATCTTAGAATTTACCGTTTAAAACTATATACTTTATTTTTATGTTATTTATTCACTTATAAATTGTGTTATTTTAACACTGAGAAATATTGAATATCAATTTGACACAAAATATTTAAATAGCATAATCACATTATATTAATTTAACAAGCAAATATGTTAAAAATTCGGCAAAAAATTTTAACAAAAACGCGTGTGGACCGTTTCCAACATAAATACACGAAAAGAACAATTTTGCTGAATGATCCAAATCTGAAAATAATTTTTGTTCAATAATCAAAATTATTTTGTGCGAAAGTCTAAATGATTGCTAGAATATCAAAACGTTTTATAGCAATATTTATCAGTTTTAACATTTCGACAAATTATTTTGATGATTCGATAAAAAATTATTTTCAGATCTGTCTTTAGCAAAATTTTTAAATCTTTCAACAAAATCGTACTTTCCGTGTACAAAACGTTTTTTTTTTACTGTGCGAATTCCGCGTGACTTAAAAATTGAGCACACAATAAAGGTCTTGGTGGAAAATTCTTTTCACTATTTTTCGCCCGACCTCTTCGATAACATCATTACGACGTAGCTATTGGCTCATTTGCTCGCCCGTTTGATTCATTATCGTCTGGGAACTATAACGTCTCGGGGTTTCCACGAATAGTGCAAAGCGTCACGACGCATCCCCCCTCCTGCCCCGCTGAACAGAAGGAGTCGTTTATGGCTCTCATTTCCTCGCGAGTTAGAACAACTGACGTCAACGTCATCGCGTGTGATTCCGATCGATCTTTTCATCTCCGTCGGGCTTTGCCGGAAACCCGGCCGCGTGCAGGAAGGTCTCGTTGTTCCGAATTTACTTATCCCCGCCTACGTTCTTTTTTTTTACGGATATAATCTGTCGCCAACTTCATCGCCCTTTACTTCTTTACCTTAATGAGAGTGACGTTGTTCGTCTGCACGTCCGATATGTTCATCAGGAAGGTGAGCGACTCCGGATAGCACTGGGTATAGTTGGTCCACATGCTGTCGGTTTTGACATTCCAGTACCACTCGCCGTTCGGCATGCATTGCCTCGAGGCGAACGCCTGAAAGAAAGCACCTCCCTCTTATCTACTCGCCGCTCGTCGATTGATTCGGTGATGATTGTACTTTAAGGGAGGTTCTCCAGTCTTTTCACATAATACTTATAAAAACTTGATCAAGTTTTGAGAATAAATTTATAATTAATATTTAGACACTTCTGAAATTTTTCAAATTTTTCAACCAAGTTTTCTTTAGATAATTCTCTAAAATAGGTTAAATTCCTATGAGAAAGAAAGTTTTAAATAATTTTTTTGTAAACAAAATATAAAAAAATTAAAAAAGTTCCATGTTTATATGAAGGAATAAAGTTTAAAGATCATTTTGGAAGAATTTTGACCGTATTATTATTTTTGTGTAAGTGTGAAATGTTTGTGAATTATTCAAATCTATTTAGATAATGATGTTATACTAGTGAAATCGTGGCAACGTCAGTTCATATGACATGACATATACATATATAACCTCAAGGTGAATTAATTAACGTCCTTTTACACACGGAAACAACGATTTTGTTGAAAAGTCTAAAAATTTTGCTAAATACAGATCTGAAAATAATTTTTGTTCAATAATCAAAATAATTTGTTGGAAAGTTAAAAATGATAGGCGTTGTTATAAAAGTATAAAACATTTTGATATTCTAGCAATCGTTTTGACTTTCCAACAAAATTATTTTGATTATTGAATAAAAATTATTTTCTGATCTGGATCCAGCAAAATTGTACGTTCTTTCCGTGCAGGAAATAAATTTAGAATATTATATTTTCGACATTTTTTCTTTTTTTATTGTTTTTATCAAAAGTACACAGAGATGTATTTTTTTTCTCTAATTGTTTACCGGCAATAAATCGACTTTTATATCTTTTCTGTGACATTTCTGCACTTTTGTTTATCAGTTTCAGCTCTCTAAGTTACCATCTACTAAACAACTAACGTTTTCATCAGAATTATTAATATACCTACATAAATTACATTATTATAAATTTAAATCATTATTACAAATAATTTTGTTCAAATTTTTCTACATAAATATTTATTTTTATTATAAATTAGAAAATATATTTTTTATAACAAATGGTAGTTTTATCGCTCAAATTTTATTTATTATTTACTTTTTCTAAGATGACAATGGCTTTCTTTTCCTTTTCTTTTCCATGTTAAAAAACAAGACAAATTTCAACTTTGCGCCACTTTTTTAAGCTGTAGAACCTCCCTGAGAAACATTGAAATATACCACGTTCTTTTGATCTACGATTCTATACGAAAAGAACCTACCGGAACGGAGAGACTTTCGAGCTACATTTCAAGTTACATTTCACATCGATTCCGCTTGAGATGAAATATTAATTCGCGGAGATCATCCACAAAGATACTTCAAACGCGAGCGCGAGAAAGTTGTAAAACGGAATAACGCCTATATATCGTGGGATTCTGTCTGACAGGAAGAATAGAACTCGAATTTGTCGAGGAGCCTGCACACGAACATCGTTGAACCGCCGCGTGCGGGACATTTATTCAATCACTTTGGATTTGACGAATGATGGATTTTATCGTCGATTCACGATGAGGATCTTACGTCAGAGAGCGACATTATCAGAACGGGAAACTGATATCTAATTAAGTTTCACGCGCGGGTCTACAGGCGAATCCCCGATATTAATTCGATTCCGTTCGAATAAAATTCCGCCGATCGAAGAACGAGAGAGCGCGTACTTAGTGTATATATAGCTTCCGGCGAATCTATAACGGATCAATTCAATTTAATTAACGTGATCGTCGACTATATATACGTACGTCAGCGTCGAAACCCCCGATGTAAGAGGGACACTGCTGAACGGCCAGTTGCCCAGGCGCCGTCGAGTTCCAGCACAGTATCTCGTCCCAAATCTCGGGACACCAGCCTGAATAGATCGGATCGAAATATTAGCGCAAAGATAAACAACGAGGCTATACCCGCGCAGCGGCGAAGTAATTATTATTACTATACACGTAATGGCGACCAGCGGCAAAGTAATTATTATTATAATGTATATATATTCACGATACGCCGAGAAAATATGGTTGGAAAATACTCTGTCCCAACATTTTCGCTTTTTCAGATGCTTACAGACTCTGTTTATGACAAATTTTTAATTACAAATCTTGAAAGGATACCGCGCAGATGTTGTCTACATTTGAAGTCCTTTATAACCACGGAGCGCTTATACGGGCTGTCCCATATATGGGAATGTGTTGAAACTAATCAGCTGTCATTTTCGAAAGTTATCGCAAAAAACAAGAATTGCGTTGAAATTAGGAAAGTCTGCAGTTTTTAACACAACAGTTGGGTATAAATAAAATTAAATAATAAAATGTTTGTATTGTACATCAGTTTGCAGGGTTGGGTAAGTTAATATATTTTTTTAACTAAGTTAAGTTAAAGTTAACAGTCTAAAAATTTAATTAATTATATAAGGAATTTTTTATTGCGGCGAGAATCAGAAAACGCGTTCGGAAGTATGCGAAGATCTGAGAACGGCACTTCGTCTCCAGTTTATATAACGGGAATGTTACCAAGGCATTAAACAAAACTTGTTATTAATAAATTAATATAAGACTTCGTCGCTGTGCAACTTTGTCATGTACGAAATTGCTTCGTAACGACTTGGCAACATGATCGTCGATTTGAAATATACAAATACTTGAATGTGTAATAAAGGGGTGTCTCACAGTTCGACCAGCCTTACAGTTCTCACACTTATTGTTAGTTAAGATACAAGTTAGTCCATAATAAAATTAATTGAGTTAAAAGTTAAGTTAATAAAAAAAAGTAATTGAAAAGTTAAAGTTAAATTTTTTTTATTTTATAATTTTAGAGTTTCTAAATAAAGTATATATTTGTTATACTTATTTTTGTCGAGCCGCGGAAAGAGGACTAGAACTTACTCGAAGAAAGAGGTTTCGAAGGACTTCTTCCAACGTAATTTAATGCACAGAAGGTCCGCGAACAGTGATTCTTTCCCGCGGTCAGACTATATTTGTTATATTATTACAATTGCCTTGATGTTCTCAAATTTGAGTTTGAAGACACTAACTTAGACACGTATTTTATTTTGGGTTTACAAGAAGCACTAAAAATGTAACTTCAAGAAAGTTGGATTAAAAGTTAATAGTTACCGATAAAAACTAACTAAATTAAGTTAAAAGTTAAGAGCCTAAAATGTAACTAAGTTAAGTTAAAATTATTTAACTTTTTAATTTTTTAATCCAACTTTTATCTTTTTAACTAGCTACTACCCAACCCTATCAGTTTGTCTTATCAATAAAAAATATGCTAATAAATAACAATTAAGCTAATGCTAATTATTTAACGGCATGGGCTGCGATCTCGGTAAAAGGCATTTATCTGCAATTCTTCGAATCAATGGTCACTAGTGAAAGTTACAAGCAGCTTATCTCGAATAAAAATTCTTCCCTTACGCAAAAAAAGAGACCTAATCATGGAAGGTTTCATTTCATGCAGGATGGAGCGACACTACACCGAAACCCAGGAGGGGTCCTCGAAACAATCTATAAAGTTCATGGCAACCGGGTCATCGATCTGGGATATCCCAAATTTGCCCAGGGGGGGTGTCTAGAATGGCCACTGTACTCATCGGATTTAAATCCTTTTTTCTTTGGGGGTACATAAAAGACAATTGTTATCTAGAAACAGTGCCAGATTTAGTAGCAGCTATATTAAAAAGGTTATCAACAATATTAAAGACGACATATTAGAAAACGTTTTTACGAGTGTTTGTAAAAGAATTGAGTTTTGTATACAGATTCAAATTTTGGTGCGCACTTCGAAAATATTTATCATTATAACGCTTAATTATTAGCATATTTTTTCATCAATAAAATAGACTGATGTACACATATTTTATTTAATTTTATTTGTACACATTTAAAGACTTTCCTCTTTTCAACGCAGTTCTTGTTTTATCAATAACTGAATATATTCGATAATGACAGCTAATTAGTTTCAAGACATTCCCACCTGTGGGACATCTTGTAAGGGAAGAGGGAGAGGCAAATAGTGCCACTTTAAATTTATCCTCTTTCCCGCGTCTATTTTACCATTACTCGTCAATAAAAAGACAGTTCTCAATTAGCATCTAATCATCTTCTGAAAAAGCCGTAAGAATCAAAAGCCAATTATAGCTAGCGGAGAAGTTTTAAATTTTGCATTCGTAAAAAATAAGGTAAAACTTGGATCTTTTTTTGATATTTGAAGTTATATTTTCTTAATTGCTGAATCGTTGAATGAGATCTAATCTATTCTACGTCATACGATACCTTTTTCCTCTATTTTGATATAATTCTTATGCTCGTATATTAATTTTATTTTTCTCAGTAAAATTTTAAAGGAAAAAGTAGCTCTTGGAGCAAATAATGACAATTTTTAGTTGGATAAATAATGACAATGTCAAAAAGCGTTTTTAATATTTGAATATGATTTTTCTAAATTATTTGGGATAATATGAGATTAGTTACAAGACAAGATCCAGAATAAATGTGATTTTTAATAAGAAATATTAGCGAATAATGTTACTACTGTTATTTATCAATAAATAAAAGTTTACATATGGCAGAGTATAGAAATTAATATAAATTACCTTATCTAATCAAAATGTCAAAAGAAAGATCGATTAGGAGTTAAGAATGTATTTTGTAATTGTCCCCTAGAGTGTCACTATTTACCCATAGGGTGAAGCAAATAATGACAATTGTAAGTTTCAGTTTTTATGAAAATCTAGCACGTAAACATATATGACTTACAGGGTTGGGTAGTGCTAGTTAAAAAAATAAAAGTTAAGTTAAAAAGTTAAAAAATTAAATAATTTTAACTTAACTTAGTTACATTTTAGGCTCTTAATTTAATTTAGTTACATTTTATCGGTAACTATTAACTTTTGGTCTAACTTTCTTGAAGTTATATTTTTAGTGCTTCTTGTAAATCCAAAATAAATATCATGTCTAAGTTAGTGTCTTCAAACTTAAATTTGAAAATACACATCAAGACAATTATAATAATATAATAAATATAGTCTGACCGCGGGAAGGAATCACTGTTCGCGGACCTTCTGCATTAAATCACGTTGGAAGAAGTCCTTCGAAATTGGTTCTCTTTCCGCGGCTCAACAGAAATAAGTATAACAAATATATACTTTATTTAGAAACTTTATTTAGAAACTCTAAAATTATAAAATAAAAAAATTTAATTTTAATTTTTCAATTAATTTTTTTTTATTAACTTAACTTTTAACTCAATTAATCTTATTATGGACTAACTTGTATCTTAACTAACTCTTAACTAAGTTAAATTTTTAGACTGTTAACTTTAACTTAACTTAGTTAAAAAAATATATTAACTTACCTAACCCTGATGACTTATAAAAACTCTAATTAAGTTTTCTGTATATTTGAAAGTGGAAAGTGCTCTTTTAGTGAAAAATCATATCTTGTAACCTTGAAATCTTGTAGGGAAGGGAGGAAAAAATCCGTCACTATTTGCCTCTCCCCTCCTCCGCCCTTAAATCATATTCGTTTCACAAACGTACGTACATACGTATGTTAATATTTGCTACGTCAGCTCGCATGCAGGGTTTCTGGATGGTGCGATGCTATCGGGGGAAATAATGGATTCTCCTCGACACAAGTCGCAATATATACAGCCGATTATATACATATATCCCGCTGTATTATTATTAAACATGTGATGCGTTATATGTCGAGCGAATCGGCCATTGTTGTATATTAAGCGGCGGTGAGAATAATACGGCGGATCGCCCGGGCAATCGTGAGGATTATTGTTCGCCGTTTCACAAAGCCAAGTGCAAAATTCGACGCGGTCCTCGGCAGATTGCCGGTCTTTCAGCGATGACGCGGCTTATATGTGGGAATATAGGAACCCATTAGCTCCCGGAGGTGGTTCGTATATGGAATTGCATTTAGTCATATCTCCGCGTATACATGTATCACGCGCATATATATATATATATATATATATATATATACATATAATTCTGCATGCGAAATGACATAGGCTACCGCACGGAACGGTAGGCTGCTACGCGGCAGGCTTTGCCGTATTTACTTGAAACACCGTATTCGATATTATCTCTATATTCATTATACGTATATAAGCCGCGGATTACGCTGCCCGCGCACCGTGTGCGACATGCATGCATATACTGCATATGTGGCGCACAGGGGAAATACAATAAAGAAATTCAATCAATTAAAAAAATAATTTCTATATTAATAGAATTAAATTCTAATAATGTCCACTCAACTAAAATCGCC